ATCAGCTGCAGATATCACAAACATGGATATGGTGACTTGGTCCATGGCTCAAAGTGTAGAATTCAATCGAGTGCCCAACTTGGATTCTGGAGTTCTCATCATCTGAACTTTAACCTCCAACCACTGTGCCCTGACAAGCAGACCCAACCCCCATCTTGAAAACTTGATTACCGAAAAGGAAAAAGTGGTGAAAAACTGGAGGAAAGTGTTCTTTTTCTGAATGCCATAGTGACTTTTCACCTGTCTTTCAGTCACGGCTACGTTCAGGGATTAAATTTCAGTTTGTGGAGTTTCCTGGGAAGTTGTAGGGTGTTGACAACCCTATCCCTGCTCGAGTGGGGTGACCAGACTTGAAGTAAAGTCAGCCTTTAGTGTTTATTTACATCTAAAATAAAATGCTGTACAAAACAAAATTAACAGGGACCTAAGAGGCAATGTTTTCCACATAGAGGGTGGTGCGTGTATGGAATGAGCTGCCAGAGGAAGTGGCGGAGGTTGGTACAATTACAACATTTAAAAGGGCATCTGGATGGGTACATGAATAAGAAGGGTTTAGATGGATATGTGCCAAATGCTGGCAAATGGGACTGGATTTATTTAGGATATCTGGTTGGCATGAATGAAATGGACCTAAGATTCCAATTATGTGTCAATTTTGGCTCATCTGATAGCACTCTGATTCAGAAATTTGTGGCTTGACTCCCACTCCAGGACGTAAGCCCACAATTTAAACCTGGTGCCCCTGCATAGTACTGAGTGTCTGCTGCACTGCCAGAGATGCTCTCTCTCTCTCATATAAACTGTTAAATCAAGCTCTCCTCAGTTGCTCAGGTAAATCTAAATAATCCCATGGCTGTTCAATCCAAGGAACAGTGGAGAAGTTATCTCTGGGTGTCCGGACTAATTTTATCCTTCAATCAATATCAGTAAAATTATTGGTCATTGTCACATTGCTGTTTGTGGAAGCTTTTTGTGTGCAAATTGGCTGCTGCCATTCCTAAATTACAACAGTGATTGTACCTCAAAAATACTACAGAGGCTCTCACATTCTTCGAGATATCTCATAAAGGGTACAGTATAAATATAGATCTTCCTTTTTAGGCCAATTATACATGAACAGAATAAGAACCACAGAAAATATATTGAAAGCTGTTGACCATAATCTCAGGCCAGGACACAACCTAAAAACAACTTCATGGCTTTAATTTTCCTCATTTACTCACAGCAACAAGGTGCCCCTAACAAAATTCAGATGAGGCTACATTCATTGGTTTCCTCTGTGGGTTCATAAAGATTATATGAGCAAAGCTCAAAAGCTATTGAAAGGTACTGGGGACGAAGTCCTAAATATCTAATCTGTCATATTGCACTAATCCAGGCTTTGTTTAAATTAGAGATTTAGTTTAAGAACAAAAAAAACACAGAAAATGAAAGATCCAGCATTCATTTATGCCAACATAACACTTTTATAAGCTTTTTTTTAACAAAGCCCATATTTCACAGAATGAGAGGTGGGTGCCATACTGTTTCTTTTGTAAAAAATACAAGAGACAATAAACTACCATTCTTAGAATTTAAAAATTAGGTTTATTGTCATGTGTACTCAAGTACAAAAGTACAGGAGTAAAGTGAAAAGTTTACAATTGCACCACACAAGGTGCCATCTCAGGTACAAAGTATCCAGGTACAAAAATTAGATACTAAAATAGATTAGGTACAAAAATAGGGAAATAAAGAGAAAAGCCAAAAGTTTTACATTATAGTTCTTCATAGTATAAATTAGGAAGATAAAGAAATAAAGTTAAGAGATAAACGTTACAGTCCTTCCATAGCCTGCAGTCTCTCCATACTGTGGACTCTCCATACGTTGTCTCACTCTCCCCACACTGCTGGGCTCAAAATCTGTGACAGGTTGACCACAACAGGCCCAGCCCACCGGCAAACCCCTCCAGATTCCCAGCTCACCGGCTGCTCCACTCCATCCCGCCGACCGCTGATCATCCCACACCACTCCGGCCAATTGGCTGCCCTGCTCGACTCGGGCCTACTGACTGCTGGCCGCCCAACTTCACTTCAGCGCTGTGAAAGCTGGCCATCCCGCTCTGCCCTAGCCCGCTCCACCCTGCCCTGCTGACCTCTGGCCTTCCCGCTCTGCCCTGTCCTGCTGACTCCTGGCCGTCCCGCTCTGCCATGTCCTGCTGACC